AAGAGGGAAGGAGAAGGCTGGTATTGGAATTGTAAATGTGGAATTCGGCGGGAAGTTACTAGACTAGATATTTTGACACTTCAACAGGAAATTGGTACGTGTGTGTTTGACCTTACCACCGGTCCTGCAGCTACAAAGGTCTCAGTCTCAAAGAACAAATAGAACTTTCCACGACATATGAAACCATACAAGCCAAAGAACTCGGTGACCGGAAAGCTCTTTCATCTTGCAGCTTTCGTTCTCGTACCAATGACCTGGTGAATGATAGAGGTATTCATGTACCAACAACCCGGATTATCTAAGGTACAAACTGCTGGTCATATCATGTGGTGGGTATAAGGTATGGACCGAAGATCGCGAACCTCAACAACACGATTCATACCCAAATCGGATACACTTTCCTCTCTATTTGTAATTTCGTACATATAGAGACGTGCATGCTACTGAGACTCGAAGCTATGACCCCACTTGAAGCTTGAATTATCGTGAACCATTTCAGTCATATCTCAAATTCCTTTTTCCGTACCTGACCAAGTGACAACCACTAACATTAAACATTGAGGAAAAAATAAGCAAACATAAAAGAAATAAACGTGATGAGCATTTAACTCGATTTGGAAATTTGAAATATCGCTCCGATCCATCAACATCAGCCTCATCTTTTTCCAAATTGAGGTTTTGCGGCGTCATCCAGAACATTCTCGCTTCCGCCTCACATGTACCCCTTCATTACAGTCGGAGGAAAAAAATTATCCACCGATGTGAAAAAGTCAAAACTTAACAGTCTCAAACCATAATGTAGGTTTGAACAAAAGTAACAATAAACATCTCCATCCGACCGAATACAGTCAGATCAGTGAAAACTCTTCAAAGGATTCCCGAGCAAATGGTAACGAGAGAAAAATTCTCCCTACATGAATCCTCGAGAGTTCAGCTCAGCCCAACCAACATGAATACACGAGCCACGACACCACCACGCAATCGTAGGAAGTATGCCACTTTAATCAAACATCATCAATGCAAGCAAAACAATCCATAATTAACCTTACGGAACCCGATATTGTAGATCCAGACTCCATAATAGCCCAAGTTCAAACCCAAGACCATAATGCACACACAACGCCGAATCCACGGCAATGAAACGGAATAAATGAACGACAACAAGTCTCCCACCCATGTAACCACGGAAAAACATCACCGAGTTCGGAAATCCACAATTGAATCGTTGTCCCGTTCTCAAACAAAACAAACTCGGTGTCTAGATTCTTACTCGGTATCAATTCGTGGGTCTGCATTGTACAATTTGTACAAAATCACCACAAGTAAGTATATCGAGATTCTAGACTCTCATAAAGCCCAAACACCTCCAGAGAACTCCACGTGTATCCAGAAGTTTCAAACGATTGGATTCATCGCCGATACCGTACATCGCAGAATGGGAATTCTCCACTCGCCCTCCACTCATCGAAACACATGTCATAGAACTGGACCCGCCCGATTTCAGACCCGGCCGGGAGCTACAATGGAAGCCGGAACCTCACTAACCCTAAATCCTTGTGTAGGATGAGGTGAGCAAGTGGATGTTGTACCTGACAGATGGAAGCGTGGTGAAGCGCTAGCCAAGGACGAGATCCGTCTTGATGTGTGTTATATTTATGGAGTCAGAAAATTATGTAACTTATGTTATTTTATGGAGCAGGGAAGCATTGGGTCACCAACTGCTATATATGAATGGTTCTAGATGTGGATATTGCTCTTCTTGGTATAGTGACGGTGGAGTCTGAAGTGTTGTCAATTTAAGTAATTATGAAAATAGAAATAGAATAAAATATTGAATTAAGATATATGGAAAATTATTTGAACTGTGCCTCCTTCATGTTGCGTAGTAGTTCGGCGCGTAGGTAGGTTATAGGGCTCACGGTTCGGTCCCCATTGATCTACTTCAAAGCCTCTACTATTAAGAAAAAATCCCGAAAACAGACTGGCCGGGCGGGTAGATAATCTCTTTTTCTCTACCGTTTCCATAGAAGGAATTAAATGTCTACAACCGATATTTTTTGATTGGTTATTTTTACCTTCGTGTTTGAGATCACCAACATTAAATCCTCAGACGAACCAACACCCCTCTCATCTCACCTGACAAGGCAAGGGAGTTCATCTCCCAAAACATCTCGTACCTGGAACTACTCGGACGAAAAATGAGAGGAATAACGGCATTCCCGCTTCCTCACGACGATCATTGCGCAATTCTTCCTTACATTTTTTCCTACAATTTTTCTCTCAAGCATCTTTCCTTCCCCTTTCAAGTCTCTCCTTATCGAAAGTCATTTTTCGGTGAAAACTTCTGGAAAATCTTAATTGTGTTTCATCCCCTCTTGGTCACTCCTTGTAGATTTCTCATAAGACCGCGATCATCTAACCTTTGCTGTGACTAAAAATTTAGGTCCCGCCCTCGAGGCCGCTGTAACGGACGGTTTCTACAGTGGAGTGAATTCTGGGGATCAACGGTCAAAGCAAGCAAAGCAAGTTAGCAAACAAGGTACAAGCGGTAAGGCAGAGCTCCGGGCAGCGCCGGAGTCAGAGAATCTCAATGGGTGGTACCGATGGAGCAAATATGCTGTTCAGTGGAGATTCCGCGGGTATGGATTGGGGTTTCCGCAATGTTTGTTTTTTGCTTCGTAGATACTGTGATGTTTCGGTTTCGGGGCGGTGGGGTTGAATGGAAGAAACTTAGAATCATCATGCTTCATGCTTAGGGAGGTATCTAGAAGCTAGCGGGGCTCTGGGGGTGGAATGTAATCTGAAAGAATGAGGGATAAAATTTTGCATATTCAATTCCCTCATCAATCGCCCTACAAGCACGAATAATGCCTCAATTTCCAACAATCCTACTCCCCGTATGCTGTGTGCTATTACCCCAATCCAACTGTTCATCATCACCACATTCATTCAAACCCCTCGCACGTGTCTCCGTTCCCAGATTCCCAAGGCTCTAGCACAGATCCCATTACCTAACAAGAATTCCCCCAGCGGAGACCTCACTTCATGCATTCAAGACAGCTCATCCATGAATTCTTCACTAATAGAGTAAATACATGATCCAACCTTACATGAGAATCGCATCATCATCCATTTAGCTCTCCCCACACAATGTTAGACTCCATCCATGATTCCCAGAAGATCTCGAGGAACAGAACACGTGCAAGCCCAAAGAATCCACAAATATCTCTCTAAATTGTAGCCTAATGTCTAAGCATTCCCAAAGTCCGTCCCAACTAACAGTCGACGTTGAACTATCCCATCTTTCCGGTATCTTTCTGCTTCTACAACACCTCGAAACACTCGAAGAAGTGATGTACAGTATAATATCTCGTGTAGAATCCAACAAAAAAAATCTTCCAAACTCTATCTGAATCTAGATTCAAGAACTAGACGCGACATTAGAGTTCAAGTCCGTTGTCGATTCCAAATCGTCTTGGCCAAAAGTCTAACTCTCGATCGAATCAAATCAATTCCCAATACGCCCCGAACCGCTCACTCGAGTAATTTTTTTAGATCAGGGTCTAAACAATAGAAATCAATCACTTCTATCACGGATATCTACAATATCAAAATCTATCTCCATCTTACACAAGAAATCTAATGCGTGAAATCCTCCCACTCTAGAAATCTGTAAAGCATATGGGTCAGTTTGCCGCCAGGTATTTCGTGAGTAAAATTGCGAAAGAACTATACATAGAAAATTCTCCGATTTCCCTTCCCACTAACCCTGTGCAAAGTTCATCAGCTTTCCTCACTCAATCCAGAGTCGTTTCCTTCTACTACTACCTAGTGAACAACCAACAAGGTGCAAACATAAATTCTTACTTTATTGCTGACCTAATTTCACTTACGAATATTCATCATTTAAGATTTAAGCGCTCACATCATTGCTGTTTTTTTGGGCTTCGCCGCAAACTAGCTGCCAAGGTACTTGTTACACTAGATTTCTTGTTTGTTTGAAGGAAGGAGTGGTGGCCGCCATAATGTACCGATCGACGAACATCATTTGCTTGTCTTCTAATTAGTGAATTAGTGGGAGCGCGAGGGGTACCATACTACGTGGGAAAAAATCGTACTCCATTGTCGGTGTTGTAGGATGAGGAAAGTCATTGGGTCAAAGCTATGGAAGAGAAAATAGTCAAGGAAAATTTACAATTCTCACATGTATTGTATCACAAAACAAGCAATGAGGAGAGATAAAGTTTGGTGTCAAATCCGTCATCTTGTGAACGGACTGAAGAATCTTTAATATTCTTTTTCTTTACTATCATGCTAATAACACAAGCCATTTCACTTCATTCTTAAGAAGTAATGACAAGACCAGAGTGATCCATCCATTCATACCGTGTGGTATATTCTCCTCCCAATCCAAACTATCGCTAACAAGAGATGAATTTGCTGATCAAGCGAGAAACAATCGAGAAAAAAAGGCGCCCCTTCACCATAAAGTGAATCATTCCTTCCTTTCCAACAAATGAAATTGAATTGCTCCAACGCTGCCTATCCCATTGCTCCCATGCTTTCCCATAGTCTGAAATGACATCTTATATCCGTCCCGTGCCTTCCTTATGCCCATGATGTATTAGGAGAAAAAAAAAGTGTAGTGCCGATATGATAAAAAGAATGCGAGACTCCGCTCCTCGCTATTCTGAATGCTCCGATGCAAATGATGAACAAAGACTGGACCCAAAGAAAATTTTTTAAATGCCGAAGATTGATAAGAGATGTGAATTGTGTGAATGTATGATGTGATCCGAATGCCCCAAATGATAACACTTTTGTACAACAACCGATTTTAGATCGTATATTGTGAGAAAACGCCGACTCCGTTGTAAGGATTTTAGAGATGAGATATGGGTATTTATATCATGATGAGAGAAAATTTGTGCGGTCTGAAATAACGCCAATAAATGCCAGAAGTTGAGATGATATTGTAGTAAAGTTTAGGAGGTAATCGTTTAATGGCTACCGGATTGTCGTCTGTTGTTGCGAGATTGATCGAATGAGCTAGCATATGCCCTCAATGCCCGTTTTGATTCCGCCGATAACTGTGCTGGTTCTGACGAGGTCGAGGAAGTGCTTTGCATGGAGAAAAGACTAGATTGCGAGCTCGAAGGAGTCAAGGTAGACTTCGCAGCTGGAGATGATCTCGAAGGTTGGTAGAAGGATGCAGTACTAGAGGGGGTTGTACCGTATGGTTGTGCATTGCTGAAGTTGTATGCTGGCTCCATGTAGAAACCATTCGACTTTGTGGGCCAAGCAGCTCCATGAAGTGACGATGGTGAGGAGGGTGCTGAGCTGTCGCTGGAGGAAGCCTTTTCGTATTCTGCCAAACGGCAAGCTTCTGAACAGTAAACACTGCCATCTGTTTGCCTGTCACAGGCGAGGCAGAAATCTGGAGACCATTCCATATCGAAAGACATTTTGTATATTGATTGCTTGATAGAACTAGAGTATGTAGAAGGAATTGGGAATGGTTGATGAGGATCGAATTAATTGAGGAAGTAAAATTTCCAAAATTCGAAGGATGAGTCTTCCTTTATGGATCTTTTCGTAGTAAGGAATAATGCTGTGTTGTCTGATTTTATGTCGTAGACAAAAGCTCGGTCAAGTATGCTATGGTGTGACTCGACGAAAGGCTCCACTCGGTACTAAGTGGAGGAGATCTTGTGCGATGAAGACTACTGCCGTAATTTCTAAAGTGGATGAGGTGATTTATGAATAAATAATAGTTGACGAATATGAGTTATTGTATGGTATCATTCCCTTATTTCACTCAATTGTCTTGCTTGTTTAGAAAAGTAATGTTTTGAAAGTCCTTGAAGTTCTGATATTGGTCAAAAATATGAGGGCGGAGGTCGAAGTATATACAGATTTGAGTAGCGAGTTGGGGTTGACTGGGAGTTGGCCTGTCTGGGTCCTGCAGATAGAATGCCTGTCTTGTGCAGATGGCTTTTTTTTTTCGCTTTTTTGGCCACTTCCCTTAGAATGGTAAAGCGCAGAGATCAATTGCAATTTGGGGTAGAGGGCAGTGAAAATAGGCTGCTAGACGCTAGCCTAATGGTAGTCATGCGAAAATCAGTATCGTTACTAAGGAAAAGGTGTGTGTGCGCTTCACAATTACTGATTGGGTGTACAGACATGTATCAAAAGGGCAAGACTTATCGGAGGCCTGCGGGAATTTTGATTTTTTTCTCTCTTTCTCTTCTGATATGGTGTGTTCAAGTGGTGTGAGTGGGTGATTTTGGTGGTGTTATCATGAGTACAAAGATAATCAGACTAATTACCGATTAGCGTATAGTTGTTCATCATGCCACTTTCTGCTGACCCCTTTTGGTTAAAGTTAATCCTCAAATATGTACATATGCACTGTAACTATAGCAGCAATCAAGATATGGCTCACTCACAAAATGGCACAATTAATCCTTGAATATTTATTAGAAAGCTAAATACTAGCCCTGATGACTTTTAGCTATACCATTTGAACTTATGACTGGTAGCAGCTGCATAGAAGTTCCCCACCTTTTGAGCAATCTTGGCTTTATACCATCCATGTTCATGGCCGCTCTTCAGTCTTGAAGCAAAATACTTCAACTAAAACAGCGACGTGGGATGGTGTTTGACTAGGCAAGACAAGTGGTTAGTGGTACACAGGGTCCAAGTTATCCTTCTGGCTCTAGTAGAGTCCGCATTTGTGTCCCTGCAGTGTGTAGGGTTACTCGTAAATTTTTCTAGCAAGGCTTTAATGCTGGGGTATCGATTGGAATGAGAATAAAAAGAATAGTGTGAGTGGAGAATTGGTTTTCGAAAAGAATCGCGCACGAAGAGTTGAACTATGGCGTATGTTTTCTCAAACCCGTACATCCATAAAAGGAGTGTTTATGAAAACTTGCACAGGGTTCATTTCAAGTGTTCAAAGTATTGTTGCTCCATAAAATAGGCTCATGATGGGATAATTTTGTATTCGAACACCAGAAATATCGTCATTTTTAGAACCCAAAGATACCTAAATCAAGTCTAGCTCCCGATTTATCCCCAATTGAACCAGGTACAGGGCACATAATTAACTTGTCAAATCTCAATAAGTAACCCAATTCAAGGCCTTGGTAACGAGTGAAGAAATGGAAATAATCAAAGATCCAAGGCAGGATCGTGAAAGGAAATTAATCATCGCGAACTTCGCGCGAAAGAATTAGATTCAGGAGGGGAAATGACTGATATTGGTATAGTACTAGTGAGAGTGACTGTTGAAGCAATAGTTCACTTATCCAAGTAAGCAGAAGGCCTTACAGCCAAGACATCGCGAAATGGGAAGCGAGAGGAAATAAAACAAAAACGCCATGATCAATCACCTGAGCTGGGCGACGATTAAATCATCATTCTCAAGCTAATTTCATGTGATTGGTTACTGGCCGTGGCTTTGTCCGCTCTGTCCGCTCTGATGGAGAAATTGATAAAATGATGTGCGCTGAACAAAATGATGATGACGACTTCGGTTAATGAAGGAGTCATGAATGAATGGCCTCATCTGCCTATCCTGTTGAAATGGTTACAGCGGCAATAAAAATGTAAATGGTTCATCATACCCAACCTTAAAATCTTTTCGGAACATCAACACTGTCCTTCATCCAAAATTCTATACGGTACGTTGATGGTCATTGTCATAAAGTGATGTGCATTCTATTCTCCTTTTGGTCGCTTCTGCAGCAACGAACACCAAATATCCAGTGGATCCTTGAGATTTCCCCTCATTTCATGATAATTAGATTGGGACAGCGAAGAACCTCGAGTGTCCCAAACTATTGACTTCCCGCTTGGCACCACCCGTTTTCTATTATAGCCGTATCTCCAAGAAACCCGCCAAAAAGAAAGATCGGCATTATCTCTCCATCACCACATTAGGTCACAGTAGAATGGTTTGAACCATGTTACACCACAAGGTAAGCTGGGTTGGTAGGTACTAAGATACTCTCCGAAAGCTGTGGATAGTAATTGTTATAGCATCTATATGCTCATGTACAATCGGATGTGACTTTTGATATTGGGACTATAGCCGTTGCCTTCGTCATCTCCAATGACAACAATAAACCGGAAAGCCACGGCTTCACGGAAGCTCCTCGACGAGAAGCCTTCAAACACGACATTACAAGTTTGCAACATGTTTTACGAATGAGCTTTACGGAGTACGTCACGGAATCTGGGCTGCTTCAAAATATCCGGGACAAGATTCCAAGAGCCACAGCCTCATGGGCCAAGATCTAGGGTCTAATTTCCATGACCGTGTTAGTACGTATTTCTCCAGACTGGAGAGTCATTAGCCACGAAACGTGCTCCAAGGCTAGGTCTTCTGTATGGTCTTTTTAGCTCCTCGGCGCTTCAATATACCTGAATAGCTTTTATATGAAATAGATTGTGAATTATGTTAGTAAAGTCAAGTAATAGATAGGTATGATAACAGTTAAGACGCTTGATGAGCCAGCTAGAAACCTTCTGAGACGGAGCCTTGTAAATTTTATTGTTTTATTGAGTGACAATTGATTGACAATTGGTTGATCTGTTCGCTTACATCTAGTTAATGCCTCAATCTCCCTGTTCTTGGATACCTATTCACGAAAGGTTTAATAAATACAGAGTATAAACATTTTCATGGTCTTGAATTCGCTTTCTCGCTCCCAGGACTCTTCCCGAACAAAGCGGCGTTGTAGATATTATCCACTCTAAACATGGGAAGCATTGTCCACTATCTGACCCTAAATAAAAATAGGTTTCAGTGATATCAACTACGGGAATCACGAAAACGGAGAAAAGTTGCGGAGATTATCCCAATTTCACTTCTTCGAACCGTGGTTCAATCATTTGATATCTGAGCTTCATTGATCCAATCAACTTCTCTTATCTTATAGCATTAGAACTACGAATGCATGAAAAGTACAAAACGCTCACAAGCTTGATATGAAGACCAAACCCAGAGATTGTGAGAGGCGGCTGCTTGCTACGCCTTCTGCGCCCCTGGGTTGCAACGTCGTTGAATCATGTCGCTGGTGCTTTCACGACAGTAATTCGTGGGGTTGTGGTTGTACATGGCTTGTATCCGTCTTGTATTCAACGTCACCAAGTCATGTTATTAACCTCCTGCCACTATGAAGCATTACATACTTCGGGGTACAGCGACAACCAATTTGACGGTATGCACTTTCGACTGCAGTCTTACATAGGCAAACTGGCCATTATGACAATGTTCTGGTATGTAATTACAACATGCCATCTTCTATGAAGCAACGTACTGCATCTCTGGTACTTACCAAGAGACTGCAGACCCATGGAAGTACTATGACCCCATGTACAAGATCCTTATGCAAAACAATCTATCCCCCACAAACCAGCCGTCTCTTGAGAGAAATTAAATCTTTTCCACCCAACAATATGGCAATGCTCATCGATCTTTTTGGTCTAGTCTCTCATGAGGCTGAAGAGAGCGACCTCGAAATTCATTTACGGTAGCCAATCTGCTCTCCGATACTTTATTTGAAGCGGGTATACAGAGTAAATGTGGTTACAAGATTTCGAACTAAACAAAAGGAATCCCATGCTAGTTGGTGATCACACTAAGGGCTGAGAAGTGAGTGGGGGTTCACAAGACAGCACTATCTCTAACCGACGACATAAGACGGCTTCGTGGACTCTTCATCGGACGGCTTTGGAGAGCTTCGGAATTCTAATGATGGAAAAGTCTCAGCCCTAGTCGGTCGTACCGATGCCGTCTCTTACCAAGGAGCTGACTTTCAGCTCGTATCACCGTTATCACGAGAATTTACGTACTGTAGACTGGAATGTCATGTGGATCACTCATCAACTACTATTCATCGAAATAGCTTGATAGTCATCATAAGCACAACGTGAAATTTTACCAAAATGATGCTATCCTAATATTCTTCGACTATTTTTCAATATCCGCACATAAACTCTCCTTTCCTTATCTTTTTCTTATTCAACATTCCACACATCCTGCGCGATAATCATCAATATCAGATTGCCTCGTCCCTTCAATTCCAAGACAGGGGGCGGACTAAAGGAACTATAATTCCACATAAACCATGCCTCTTTAGTTATCTCGCATACCAACTCCGCATCATCAGTAATTGAGCTAGACCATTTCCGATTTATTGCGGTTAATGCGCCATAGTTGCAAAATTCTTCAATCCTGTCACACCTTCAAAGCCTCCTGAACGTCTCATGTGTAAATTCACTAGATTGAGTTTCCTTGATTACTCGAATGAGTTTCAAAGGTATCTATCTAACCCATCACTTGAATACACCAAATCATAGAAAGCTAGATCTATGAACACATGGCTCGTAGCAATGCCTCTCCACTTGCTGAAGGTGCCCATCTCGTTTAACTAATCCGGCCATGGATTGTCTTTAT